GGCTAAAGCCTCAGGAAATTCCAGTGCTGTGGGATGTTCTGTATGTTAAATGTGTTGCTCTGATTGGGTAATAAATAAAACACTGATTGGCCAGTAGCCAGGTAGGATGTATAGGCAGGACAAGGAAAGAGGAGAATTCTGGGAAGTGGAAGGCTGAGTCAGGAGACACTGCCAGCCGCTCCATGAGAAGATGTTAAGATACTGGTAAGCCATGAGTCACATGGCAACTTATAGATTAATAGAAATGTGTTAATTTAAGATATAAGAACAGTTAGCAAGAAGCCTGCCACAGCCATACAGTTTATAAGTAATATAAGTCTCTGTGTTTACTTGGTTGGGTCTGAGCGGCTGCGGGACTGGTGGGTGAGAGAGATTTGTCCTGACTGTGGGTCAGGCAGGACCAGAAAAAAAAACTCTAGCTACATTCCAGGTCTAACCCCCAGTTGAACTTAAGCAAGAAGGAAGGGAACCTGGCCATGATATCAAACCCAGTCTTAATTTCTACCCCATGAAGTGATAAACTATTTTTAAATTTATCTTCATGTGTATGGGTGTTTTGCCTGCATGTATGTCTGTCATATCCATGCTTGTTGCTCATAAAGACCAAAGAGGGCATAGGATCCCCTGGAATGGGAGTTACTGACAGTTGTGAGCCACCACGTGGGCGCTGGGAATAGAACCCGTGTCTTCTGGTGTAGCAGTCAGTTCTCTTAACTGCGGAGCCATCTCTCCAGACCATAGCAAACTGGTTCTTAACAGGAATTCTTGCCGTGGCCCACTCGGGAGCAGACAGCTCAGGGTTCTCCTGAAGATCAGGTGCTCGCCCTTGGTCTTAAAAAGAGAAATGCCAACGGCTAGCCTGAGAACCACTAAGTCAGAACTGCTAGGTCAAGCCTCAGGAACAGTCACTAAATGAACTAAGGCAGAAATACTCCTTGAAAGTCCCCAGTTGACTCTAACACACAGCAAGACCACCATGCGGGAGTCAAGGACGACTGCTCCTAGAAGCTGATTTTACAGGGACAGTGAAAACCAAAGATGAGATAAAATTAGCATGATTTCCAGAAGCTGTGCTCCTCAGTGCACTAGACAGACAAACACTGTAGCTCTCTCGATTTCATTCAGCAGCTGGCAGCTGCATCTTCCACTTTGAACACAGGCCAAACTGGCCAGAACTGGGCTCAGTTCTTAAAGGCAGGACCCAAAATGGCCGAGTGCAATGTCTGGAACCTAGCCAAGTTCCTTCTCTCTTTTACGAACTAGGCCAGGTTTTCAGTAGCTAACATCTCTGGAAGGCACTGGGTCTTGTGGACACCTAAAGATCAGACAGCACCTGTCACTCCACACATTACCCTGGACAGATGCTGAGATCCGAAGATATTTTATAGAGACCTTGCTGTGTTGAGTCTCTCTAGTGGCAACCTCCCTCCCTCAGATCTTACACACGGCACCCTGGGCCGAAGCAAGCCGGCAGCTCCTGTGGGCACCCCCTCCTCCAAGCACAACGTCTGACACCAGGCACTGTTCTCACCTATCCAGAAATAGTGATCAAAAACTCAACCTATGCCCAGGCTGTCTGTCTAATTCAAACTCTGCAAATTTTTGGTGTAGAGAATTTTTGTTTTTATTTATATTTTGATTTCTTTCTGTATTCTTCATTCTGTCTCCTAAAATAAACCCCTAAGCACAGCAACCATCTAAGAAAGCTAAGATGAATGAGGGACACACCGCACAGGGAACCAGAACATCAGATGGACCAGGGCTGCTCATTCATGCTATGACTTGGACTTTCCTCCTTTCATTTTTTATAATCATCAAAAATGCCACCAGTGAAATTAGATTAATTCTCACCACAAAGATTCGTGAGCGCTAACCGTCACAAATCACTACCTGACGACAGCAGAAATGCTGTAGGAATAACAAGTCAAACTTGACCTTCTGTTGTCCTTAATGTGGAATGCACCACCAGGGATATGATGGTTATATTTCTTCTTTTTTTTATTTGTTTCTTCAATTTTCAGGTAGTTAAAAATGAAAGAAATCAAATCTAAGGACAGTTGTTATCTGAATGCTATGACAGTGAATCTCATAAATATCCAGCAAGACTCCATCCCACAGCTGACTGAGGTCAATCTCTAATTAGTCACATTGGTTTATGGCCCACCAGGGTCATCTATGTCTAATGTCACCCAAGACCAAGTCTCCATAATTTTCTCTTTCATTTATTATTCCTTGATTGCTGGCCTTTGAATAAACAGTTAAAGACAAAAATAAATCAGTCTTTTCTCAAAGCAGATATTAACAGTTTGCTTGTTTTTCCTTTTTCTGTGTGTGTGTGTGTGTGTGTGTGTGTGTGTGTGTGTGTGTGTGTGTGTGCCCATCCATGCGCATGCTCAGTGTTTGTAATCTGTGCTGCTTACATGAACGAATGAAGGTGCCAGAGGGGGCTCCAGGTGTCTCCCTCCACTGCTCTCCACCTTATGTCTTGAGACAGAGTCCTTCACAGAGTCTGAAGTTCCCCCTTTGAGTCAGGTGGCTTGGCCAACAAGCTCTCAGGATCCACCTGTCTCTGCTCCCCAGCACTGGGGTTACAAGCACAAGAGGCCATGACTAGCTCTGACATGGACGTTGGGTGTTTGAATCCAGGTCATCCCACTTTTGCAGCAAGCACGCTTACCTTCCTGAGCCATCTTTGCTGCCCCATGTTTTTATTTTAAAGACATAATAAAAACAAGTAAGTGAGTACCAGGAACACAGAGGAAGAAGAACAAGTTTACAAAATTTAGCTTAATGTAGGGCCCAGGCACCTGCTGTCCAGCCTGATGACCTAAGTTCCATCCCCAGGCCCCAAGTGGTAGAAAAGAAGAGGTGACTCCTATGAGTTGTCCTTTGACTTCCACACACACCACACACACACACACACACACACACACACACACACACGCACGCACGCACACACACACACGCACGCACGCACGCACACACACACACACGCGCACGCACGCACGCACGCACACACACACGCACACACACACACACGCACGCACACACACACACACGCACGCGCACACTCACACACACACACACACACACACACACGCACAAATAAAATATATTAAAAATTTAGTTGAATTTTTACTTTTTATAATTTTTTTTAATAATTGAAAGAACCCCCCCCCATTACAATCAAGCCAGAAAACAAAACTAACAACTTGGTGCATTAAAATGAGGCCACATGGATAAGAGAAGTTTAGTTCAGCCAAATATTAGCACCACAGAGGAATGTTCAAAGGAAAACACATCAAATCCATCTAAAACTGGCCCTTCCGTGTGTGAATTTCAAAGGACACAGACCTGCTTTTTAGAACTTTCAAACTCTGGGCCTTCACGTGAATCAAGTTTCACCCCAAAGAGCTTCAAAAGGCTGTTGATGGCAAAATCCAAATACAGCCTACAGTTCAGTGAATTGTAACACACCAGTGCTCCATCTTCATGTGACAGACGGATCACAGTAACAGAAGATGTCAACACTGGGAAGCCTGGGCAGAAGTTTCTAGAAACTCTGTCTACAACTTTTCTATAAATCTAAAATTACTCACAAATAAAAATTTTACTGAAGAACAAACAAAAACCACAGTCCCAAGTTGGATTATCTGGCTTTGTTCCGAAGCTGTTGCTCCCACAAAGACACAAAAGAAGCTCGCTCATCTAGAGATTTACCACAGCAAACACAGGCAGGCAGCTAAGCTCTCAACTAAGAGGAAGATTTAATGGAAATGACGATGACAACCAGGGTATCTGGGTGGTGCTTCCAATCACTCCTTGTTTCATGTACTCCTGTTGGGCTTTGGTAAATTAAACTGACATAATTCAAATTACATTTCAACATGCTCAGGAAGCCTGTATGTTTAGAAGATGTTGAGAAAATACCAAGGAAATAGGAGGTTCTTACATAAAGAGAATGGTTGCCCTCTTGTTTATCATTGAACAAATTCACTGCAAGAGCGAAGGTAGCTTTGCATGGATCACCTTTGCCCACAACACTCACCTGATCTTAATCCCAGAGCTGAGCCAGAATTAACCAATTACATAGCTTAGAGTTAATTTTTTTATACCAGAGTATGACTTTCGCCCTGTTTGCAGGGGACAGCCTGTCCAAACAGGCCGTTGCTTCAAATCTCCGTGGTTCCCTTTCCCTTTTGCTCTGCCACATCACTTATGTGACTTAGACTAACTCACTATTACAGTGAAGAGTTCTATCACACACAGGTCTCACCATCACAAAGCAGGCTAGCCCTGCAATAGAGCAATCACCTGAGCAACAAGACAGAGTGGACAGGACACACTTCTGAAGGACAGTAGGTGAAGTGACAAATGTCACTCCATCACTGTAGCCCTGACAGAAGCTTTCCTTCTGGTCAGGTAGGGCCTTCTCCTCCTCTGATAAAAGGATTGTTCACCATAGCTAGGTAAGCAAGGTCCATGGTATTGGTTTTTAACCCATAAATAAGAAGGTGGGATTCTGACCCCAAATGGATATGAGTGTCAAAAATAACTCTTAAATATTTTATGAGCCAACCAGTGACTCTGCTCTTGGTTTTTCATGGGACTCAGCACTATTGATGTGAGATCTCACCAAACATGGAGATGGTGATAAGAATAATCTTCTCATGATCTACCAATGCTCTCCATCTGTAATCCTGTGTGGATCTGATCACTGCTCAGACTTGTTCATCCCATATCTTCTGTGGGTCATACTAGTCCCTTTCCTTGACACAACTTCACCCAATGAATCACTTTAAACTGGTGGCCTTTAAGAGGCAACATCTCAACAAGGTCTTCAAGTTCCCAGCTGTCTACACTCCACACTTGCCATGAGGAGCAGATCTCTTGTATCACCAATGCCAGCTACATTAAAACCAGGCCAGGTGGCTTTCAAATCCAGTCACTCATTGTACCACTCTGCCCTTTCCCCGGGTGCAAAACCTTCAGGTACTCACCATAATCGATTCCAGGTCGGCCCATGAAGTGAGCAGAGATCTGTCTCTCATCCTTTCCATACTCGTTCTTGGCCATTAGAGTGTAGTCTCCATTATTCATATGAGTGGGATTATCTAGCTGGAGGCAGCCGTGGTACTCCGTGTGATTGGTAACATGAATTTTAGTACAGATGTATTTGGATTCATTCAGTATTGCCCCATTGTAGAACCACTGAAGTGCTGGCTTGGGGTTGCCTCTCACAGTGAATGGGATGCACCAGTGGTGGTCTGAGGTTGGAGATTCGAGAAATGTGATAGTTGGTGCAACTAAATGAAAAGAAAAAGAGTTAATAGCACCAGAAGGCTCAGAAGCCTCCCCATTGAGTTCTGTGTCATTAATAAGGGCTTTTATTTAACCATCATTTAATTTAAGAAAACCCACAATCAGTAACTCTAGGTCAATCATTTTGTATCATCTGACTGATTTAACTCCCTACCAGGAGCCTCAGAGAGTAATTTGCCCCACTCCACACATGACTCACAAAACACAGTGAGACTCTGTGGTAGGAAGTGTTTAGTTGATGTTTACTCTGGCTTTGTTCAGGCACACACACACACACACACACACACACACACATCTTAATATTATGTGGATTCATCATAAATAATGAGAGACACTTTTTTCATTAGCAATTCTTCCTTAAATAATTAAAATAGCTATAAAAATCACTATATTTGAAAATGACTTTGGAAATGTTCTTTGAATCTCTGATCCCATGGAACACACGCTAAAATGTATCAGACTAATCAACACAGTGAATGTTGCTATTGTCACTGATTGACCAGCATGGAGTATGAAAACCTTATAACTTCTGCTGCTGCTGAATATCAAATACACTTTTAGATGTGCAGAACTATAGTGGTCCAATTTTACTAGATTCTAAATGTCCATGTTTTAATTTCTGAAATGTCTGAGGTCTAATTTAAGCTTGAAAAACAGCCTGGCAATTATCTGGCTTTAAATGTATGCAGCACCTTATGCTTGGGGGAACTGAGCACAAGCGAGTGGTCTCTACACAGACTCCCCAGGGCGAGCACCAGGGGCAGACATCCCTAGTTAAGCACACACAAAAGCCTGGAATACACTCCTGTGTCCCCAGCTTCAGCAGCCAGTGACTCCGCCAGCGACAAAGGCAGGACACCACAGTCACAACCTGTGCAAAGCACACGCTGCTCTCACTACGTACAATGCACAGTGAGGTTCACAGCATCTTGATCTTCTCCTACGAGGTTTTCTGCCACACAAGAGATTTGCTTCCCACTGTCATCAGATGAAATGTTCGTTATCCTTAAGGAGCCCTGCGTGTGGCTTGTTTCATTCTACAAATAACAAAGAAAATCTTGATTAGAATTGATCCCAAAGTATCAACTTTTCTTCCTGAAATGGAGTACACACACACACACACACACACACACACACACACACACACACACACACACTTATACACACTTACACACACCACACATACACTTACACACACCATTCACACACACCACATATACATACATATACTTACACACTCTATTGCACACACCATACACACTTACACACTTTTACATACAACACACACACACACATATATATATACACACTTAAACACACTCTCTTACACACACTTTCTTGCAGGTACCAGACTCAAGTAACAGTAAGATATTCTCTTGTTCTGGATTTCAATTGCTCCATGTTGAGTTTGACTGAGTTCCTGAATTCTTACCCACCTTCCTCCAAGGGCAAAGACTACAGAACTGTCCCATCTGTGCTCAGAATGACACAGAACGCATTATTATCTGAAGGCTCTCCTCCAATCTGATGTGTACAGATAACTAAAATGTAATCCTGAATTAGCCTTGTCTAACTAAGGATAAATAGAGAACAAATGACATCAAAAATTCATTTCAAATGCCTACATGTGGGCCCATAAAATATTGGGTGGTTTTGATGGTTGGTAAAGACCAGCAACTTGACAATGCAGGGTCACCAGGGAAGGGAATCTCAAAGAAGAACTGTCTGGGTTAGATGAACCTGTGAGAGATTTTCTTAACCAGATTAATTACAGTGGGATTATCCACCCTAAATGTGAGTAATGCAGGTCATACTACATTGATTCTGAACTGGTAAAAAAAAAGAAATGAGTTGATATATGCATGCATTAATTCACTGTCCCCTGCTCCTGACTGTGAACTTAATATGACCAGCTCCTCCAAGCTCCTGAGGCTGTGACTTCCCGCTATGATGGATTGGAACCTGAAACTGGGCACCCAATGAACGTTTTCTCCTTTAAGTCACATTTGTCTGGGCCTTTTATCACAGCAACAAAAAGGAATCTAAGAGAATGATCATCAGTATGCTCAATACGATCTCCCCATTGTCACACTACGAGACAGAACTAAACACAAGTCTTACCATGTGTTTGGAAACCAAATTCCCAACATCCCAGTACAGCGTGGGGAGTGGGTCACCCGCCACACTGCAGGAAAGTGTGACCGAGTTTCCTTCCTCCACGGTGAGGTTAGGGGCAGCCAGACGTGCAGATGGCAGACCTACAAAACAGAAAAGCACACAGAAATACACAGGAACAGTTAGAGCCAGAATCAAATGGAGAGACCACCCATGTGTTCACAGAAGCCCCGCCCCTATACCCGCCCTCCCCTACCCCCACCCCAGTAACTCCTTTAAGTCTAGAAACCTACCATCAGACCTAGACCTAGAGTTCGGGAGAATCAGACTGTCAAGGAAAACTAGTTTGAAAGATTTCTCAAATATGAAACTCAAACTATAACCGTGTTAGAATTTTCCACATCAAGTTAGCGTTAATTATTATTAGTTAAATTGACTATCTTGTTCATACTAATGATGAGAAGTTATATGAATCCTTATCACAATGAAAAATTCTTTATTTTAAAACTTAAAAACCCTTAAATGTATTTGTTGTTAGGGCAAATTGTGAACATTACACATATTTTTTAGCATTTCAGTAGTGTGGTTTTTATACCTGATATTTCAAGAGCTAGACAGTTTTTATTTTAATTCCTGCTATTTTCACTTCTTCAGGCATCTCTCCTCCCAGATGTACACACTGCCTTTCACCACCAAGAATTACAGTAACCTTTTCCTAAAGCAGGGCTTGGAGGACTAACAATGTGTTGGCCCTGCCAATCAAAGCAGCCCCCCTACTTGGTATGAGGACTATTTGGAGGGACTATGATCACCCCAATAGCCAAGTCTCACAGGACTGTGTTAGAACGTTGTCTAAGAAGCATCTTGGAGGTCAGAAAAGGATCTGCAATCACTATTAAATTATAATTAGCGCACCTATTTGCCAGCAGCCAGACTGCCCTGTGTGATACACAAACCCTTCGTTATTAAGCAGCCCTCACTGGCTAAGACCCTGTTCTTTAGTATTGACATCACACCACACAATATTTGTACATAGTGTGTCTCATAGTGTTCTGACCACTGGGAGAGGACACCCTAATAAAAATCTGGCTTTCAGGGACTTCTGAAACCTTCTTGGAATGAACTCTTCCCAAAAGCATCCAATAGAGAGGAATATTAGATATTTTGGTGGTTTCAAAGAGGCCCAGGCTATCCCAAGTTTCCCAAGGCAACGAAGCACACAACAATGGTTAAGAGAAAGCACAGAAAACAAAACCCAGGCCTTAGATACTAACCCTCATTTGTACGAACTGTGTGAATTAGGAAGCAGGTCGAGGCAGAATACCATTCAAGTTGGTGGTGTGGTCCAGGCAACTTCTTAAAAGCACATGTTTTCTTTATTTTTAGCCTAACAAGTAGCCTTGTCATTTAAAGAGTCTATAATCATATAAAACCTGTTATTAAAACTACTCAAGCTATTGTGTGAGGAGTAGTCCGGCCCCACCCAGATGGCACTGCTTCCTGTTCCCAGAAGCACCCATTTCATCTACTTGCATGTCTTTACTATTGATCTCCACCCCACTAAATATTATGCTTGCACTCCTGTTTGTTGGGTTTTCAGTTGTAGAATTACCTGCTGCTCTCCTGCCAGGAGAGAACTGGAGACTATGCCCATCTGTGCCCCAACCTTTTCCACCTGCCTACTCCAGACTCAGCACAGCTCCATCTTTCCACATGCTGTGAAGTTACATTATCTACTGAGGAAATAAATTTTACCATGATATGTAAACCTTATTAAGAGCTGAACTATCTAAAACCCATAAAATCTATCTAGTTATCGTCATATCATTTTGAGAAAGAGATCATTCCAATTACTCAGCCCAATGGAAGGATTTGGACATTCTCCCAATGCCCTGTTTCAATGAGGAAAAAGTCTATAAATATAAAAAAAAAATACGTAAATCCATCATGTTTTCTATGAATGCCATATCCTCAAATCTACCTGGAACTCCTCAGAATCTTTGTTTTATTCTCTTTATAGACTGCATCTCTAGTTTTCTCCTGAGGAAAGAGGGTCCCATCACCTGAACCACACAGAGCAAAAAGCATGTTGACTGTGAATACACAGCAGGCTTTCAGCCACTGTCTGTCATGGTGTCACCTACACTCAATGCACAAGTCCCATTTTCCCTTGGGTTTCTCTGTGCACCACTTGGTAACCAACATTCTGACAATTACTGCACATCCCTTTGCTTTCTCAGCTAATACCTTCTGGTATTTGTTGGCTCCATTTCCCTTGTATTTACAGATGTATTTACTGCCTCTAGGGTGACCTTGGGAGCCAAATGTGTTCCAAAGATGCCACTCCCTCCCATAGCCCCATCCTAATCATGGAGCCTAAAGATGTCCTTTTGGGTACCCCAACTACAAAGCTTTGGGATGTGTGCTCCCCTTTAAAAGTGTATTGGTTATTTTGGATATTCTGAGCGGAGAAATGTTCAAGTGGACTTTGGTGGGATATGCTGCATCATAATCTTAATTATTCCCATAAAGTCTGGTTTAGTATTTCTTTTCAAACATCAGTTTAGATGACTAACGGCCTTGAAGATGTTTATTTACAGTAGTAGCAATAGCAACATTTGCTGGGTGCTCATTAAAGTAAACATTCTTATGTCTACAGTGTTATTGAATCCTTATACATAACCTTGAAGACATATACTTGGTACTTGTTTAATTAATGAAGTCTGTAAGTATTATAAAAGTCAAGCACATCTTTCAAAGCTGCCCAAGTCAATGTAGACTGAGATTTGAATCTAAAATAAAGGGCCTTCACCACTATAGTACATTGCACACACTCATCTTTGCACAGACCATGCATACTGTATCTTATCCATGATCTGAGAATCTGGTTCATTTGAAAAGAGTTCTGTGCCTATTTTGCGAAGGAAGAATGAGTCTCCTTATTATAAACTAATCATCTTGCCCTGTCATAGGAGTTTCCAAAGAAATCTGTGCAAAATTGGCCAAGCTTGGATCTTTTAAATGTAAAGTCTCCTGCAAATGAGTGAGCACCTGTCTCCAGCTTTGATGCGCTGGCCAAGACCCAATAATGGAAAAAACAATCTGTACTTGAAATATCACTTGAGGCTTAATTAGCACAATAAAAATGAATTGGGAAGCATGGATCGCCAAGGCGGGATAAACCACTTGCCAGGCACTACTTCCTGGCTTAATAAGATTTGAAATAAGCACAAGCACACAGCAAAGCCCAACAACGCTTCCAAAAGCTGCTAACACACTGTGATAGACCTGATTGCAAACACCAGGCCATCTCCCTTCTGCGAGGAGAACGTCACTGGAGATGAGAAACAGCCAGCATCCCCAGCAGATGAATACCTCCATGTCGATGCTCTTGACCTGGATTTGTTCAGAAAAGAAATGCTCACCTGCCTTGTAAACTGGACAGAAAAACAGCTTGTCAAAAATGAGGGACCTTGTCAAAAACAAAGCCTCTTCCCCAGGCAGCATGGGTTGAACACAGAGGGTTTGGGTCTCTAACATTCTCCTCATCCCGCAGACCACAGTTTGAGTAGGAGGGGTTTAGACAAAGGGTGTTGGACAACTGTTTACTAGGCTTTTGTTTCTACAACTGTTATTCCTAAACTCAACAGGGGCCTGAATCTCTTCCACCAAAATTTCCACAAAGTGTGTTCTGGGAGAATTTAATACCTTAAGATGCCCATGCATATGTGGTAGGGATTGGGGCATGAGGCAGAGACAAATGTAAGATTAAAAGTAGCAAAGGAGAAAGAGAGAGCTATAGAAAACTGGGTGACTGTATGTCTTACCATATAACAACCCTCAGATGTCTTTCTCTGAGAAACAACAAAACATGAGCCACCATTGCGCCAGTATCTCCACAGGTGACTTAAGTATGAGACTGTTGGAACTGTCAGTTTCTTTGAAGCAATTTGACACAATATAAAATATTTAAATCCAGTTTAAAATTTTTCAATCCAGATGCCAAATCCTTGAAAGCAGCCGATTCATTTTGGTGAGAGTGAGTAACAGCAATGACCGTCCTCTGTGAGATTCTTCAAATGCACTGACTCCATCTTAAACGTCTCCAGTACTCTCCTGCAGTCCCCCCGCACACCCAAGAATACACAATGTCTGTATTTCCCAGTGAGGAAACTAAAGCTTAGCAAGTGTTGAAACTAAACAGATGCTTGTTAGCCATTGCTGACCCCATATCTGCCCACGGCTTTCACCAGCGCATGATTGGCTGCCTCCTCAGATCTGATGGGCTCCGCTCCACCCAGCGATGGCACGCGACTCCTAAGATCTGAATGGGAAGTCTAGGGTCCTCAGCCACAGGCCCAGAATGCATAGGTTGCACATTTCTGATAAAGGAGAAAATCACGTCTCTGCTAATTTGGATTATTAACTAGACAGTCCTGTTGTATTTATCGCTATTCACTATGAAGACATGCTGGTGTGCCTTGTCAGCTTGTCCAGCAGTTCTGAGCTCTGTTTATTCGATGTTAGCTTATCATTCATGGGTATAAAACCAGCCCAGTAAGTTAGGATTTTGTCTATATTTTATCTTTTCCTTTCTCCTTTCTTTTAAAAATTGTATCAATTTACTTTGTTTTATGTTTATGGGTGATTTGCCTGAGTGTATGTATGTGCACCATGTGCACACAGTGCCCATGGATGCCAGAAGAGGCCATCAGATCTTCTGCAAATGCCTGTGAACCACCATGTGTGTGCCAGGAATCAAACCCAGGACCTCTTGAAGAGCAGCTGGTGCTCTTAATCACTGAGCCATCTCTCCAGCTGCCCTTCCCCGCCCCCTTCTCTCTGTGCATAAAGAACCCATAGAATTCTACTTTAGAAAAAAACCATCTGGACCTTCCTCTATCTTTGGGGCATACTTTCCAGTTTGATACCAAACAAAACATACAGATAGGTAGATAGATAGATAGATAGATAGATAGATAGATAGATAGATAGATAGATAGATAGATGAAGAGATATGTGCACAGGAAAGAAGCCAGCATAGTAAGATTGATCTGTTTAGCTGTAACTGCTTACATCATGCTGCAAAAAAAAAAAAAAGACAGAAAATTAAAAATGCATGTTCCTAAGCTCAAGCTGGAAG